GGTAACCAAGTATGTAAAGGTATAATCGGTGATTTGACGGCAAAAGCAATAAGAAATCCAATATAGAATATTATTATCCAATGCCACAGGATACGATTGATTAGCTGATGTTTCAAAATTTAATGTTGGTTCGTTGGAACCATATAAGCCGATACCCAGAACCCCAGTAAGAGAAAATAGAACTTCCTGCAGTGTATAAAATAAATTTTGTAGCTGAATACAAACGTTTCTTTCCACCCCACATGGATAAAAGGAGATAAACGGGAATTAATTCTAATTCCCACATGATGAAAAAAAGTAAAATATCCCGAGAAGAAAATGATCCTATTTGGCCGCTGTACATTGCTAACATCAGGAAATAGAATAATCGGGAATCCCGAGTAACTGGAAAAGCCGCTAAAGTAGCTAAAGTAGTAATAAATCCGGTCAGTAAAATCGTTCCTATAGAAAGTCCATCTATTCCCAGTCTCCAATAAAAATCAAAAAGATTGATCCATTTATAATCCTCCACCAGTTGGATTAATGGATCATCTAATTGGAATGATAACAGAATACATAGGTTGTTAGAAGTAGTTCTAACATACATATAAATATAGTAAACCATCTAATTACCTTATTTCCTCTATGAGGGAGAAAAAAAATTAAGGAACCGGCAGATATTGGAAAAACAACAATTATTGTTAACCAAGGAAAATCATTCGTGGTAAAGACAAGATATACTTGAACCAGAAAAACCGGTTCTCGAAAAAAAAAAAATATATATTATTTTCGAGAACGGGTTTTTGTCGGCTAAAATAAAAATAAAAATGTATTCAAGTAGAGTTTTCTGGAACGTATCAATAAGCTAGACCCATGCTTCGAGTTGTTTCATGCCATAAATAAACTCGAACGCTCAAAAAATCCGTTGGACAGGCAGATTCACATCTCTTACAACCAACACAATCCTCGGTTCTTGGGGCAGAAGCTATTTGCTTAGCTTTACATCCATCCCAAGGTATCATTTCTAATACGTCTGTAGGACATGCTCGGACACACTGAGTACATCCTATACAGGTATCATAAATTTTTACTGAATGTGACATTGGATCTATAAATTTTTAAACGTCATAAATTTTCGATCTAGTAAATTTTTAAATGAATCATATATCTAAACACTAGATGAATCAATGACTTACCAGAATTTTTCTAATCAATTTACTTCTGGATCGACTCATGAGAGAGGGCCAAGATACTTTGATTGATTTCTTACGTTTCGCAAACATAATCATACGTTACGTATTATACATGCTAATTGAATTGATGAATATTCTAATTTCTATATTAATACTACTTATTCAACAAATTCGATTGATTAATACGAGTTGATTTTCTGTTACGATAAATTGACGAGACTATAGCTAATCCAATAGCTGCTTCAGCGGCTGCAATTGCTATAACAAAAATGCAGAAAATATCCCCTTTTAGTTGGGAATTATCAAAAAAATCAGCAAATGTTACGAGATTCATATTAACTGCATTGAGTATAAGTTCAAGGCACATAAGAGCCCTAACCATATTTCGACTCGTGATCAATCCATAAAGACCAATCAAAAATAAATAGGCACTCAAAACAAGTACATGTTCGAGTATCATTGAGCAACTCCTTATCAATTTTGATTCATTTCATTTAAATATGAACAACAATTCAACCGGTTGGATTGACTAGAATATAACAAATATAACAAGTACGGAACAAAAAAATATATTAGTAATAGATCGAACTAAAAGCAATTCTATTTTATACATGAAGAATCTTCAAATATAATTGAAGGGAAATGAATGTGATAAGATAGAAAAAGTTTTGATTTGGATTGCTTAAAGGATTTATTACTGACGAGCCACAGAAATTGCACCTATCAAAGCAACTAAAAGAATTATTGAAATGAGTTCAAATGGAAGAAAAAAATCTGTTGATAAATGAATTCCTATTTGTTGACTATTACTTATTAAATCTTGTTCTAAAATCTGGTTTAATCTTGTAGTCCAAATAACCCCGTACCATGACGTATCGAGAATAGTAGAAATTAATGAAGCAAAAATAGTTGTACAAACCACTGAAGTAATCCCATTCCCAACAGTCCACAGATTGAAATCTATGGAATATTCGGAATCATTCATGAACATCACAGCAAATATGATTAAAACATTTATGGCTCCCACGTAAATAAGGAGTTGTGCAGCAGCTACAAAAATGGGAGTTGATGGAATATAGGAATAAGGATATACAAACAAAAACCATCCCAATGAAAAGGCGAATAGATCGGATTGGTAAGTAATACCACTCCCAGACCTCCTACTAGAAGACCAGATCCCAGAAAAACTAAAAGAAAATCATGTATTGGTCCAGGCAAATCCATTAAAAATAAAAGATAAAAAATCGAAATGTTTCATGACCTTATTGACCTGACCAGGAAAAAGTTGCCCTACCCTATTTTTTTATGAACCGCCTAATTGAATTAAATACTAATAGATGTGGATTGATGTAGATACAGTTATTGGACCAATTTCATTCTTTATCCGAAAGAGTAGTTCAAAACCTATATATTTCGAAATAATTCCGGATATATAAAATAGATTTTCAATCCAAATTAAGCCATGATTCTCACCAACAAATAATAGTTGGGATTTGTAGTTATTGACCAAGCAAAAAGAAAGAAACCTCATTACTTTATTATTACTTTAGATCAAAACTGAGTCTTAATAATTGATAATTGTTCTTGAATCAATGCGTTTATTCACTTGTTATTTGAGGTGAATTCAAAATTGTTCGAATAGTATAATCGTCAATTACTGACATTGGTAAACGCCCCAAAGCGATTTGATTATAATTCAACTCGTGACGATCATAAGTTGAAAATTCATATTCTTCAGTCATTGACAAACAATTTGTTGGACAATACTCAACACAATTACCACAAAATATACAAATTCCAAAATCAATACTGTAATTAAGCAATCGTTTTTTTCGAATATTGGTTTCCAATTTCCAATCAACAACCGGCAGATCTATAGGACATACTCGAACACATACTTCACAAAGCAATGCCATTTATCCAAATTCAAAGTGATTCGACCCGAAAAAACGCTCCGATGTGATCAATTTTCATAGGGATATTGAATAGTTACAGGTAAACGATTTGTGTGGGATAAGGTAATCATGAAACCCTGACCAATATACCTTGCAGCTCGTAGGGTTTGTTGACCATAATTCATGAACCCGGTTATCATAGGGAACATATCGTGAATATCTAATGAGTAATTTATTGTTTGTTTCTTTCCTCTTGTTGAGACAAGTTGTGAATATCGTATTCTTTTACAGTGAAAGGATGTTGGAAAGAAGTTGTTAATAATAGATTACCAAGGGAAATCGGTAAAAGAAATTTCCATCCAAGATTTAATAGTTGATCCATTCTTAGCCTAGGTAAAGTCCATCTGGTTGCGATAGAAATGAACAAGAACAAATAAGTTTTAGCTAATGTAATAAAGATACCAATTGTTGTTCCAAAGACTTCACCCGCTTTATTTATTCAAAAAACTCAGGAACAAATATGTACGGAATAGAGAGATCCCAACCTCCCAAGTAAGAACTGTTACAAATAATGAGGAAATTAATAGATTTAGATAAGAAGCAACATAAAATAAACCAAATTTGATACCGGAATATTCAGTTTGATAACCTGCTATTAATTCTTCTTCCGCTTCTGGTAAATCAAAAGGTAACCTCTCGCATTCGGCTAGGGAAGAAATTAGAAAAATGATAAAACCTATAGGTTGACGCCACAAATTCCATCCCCAAAAACCATATTTTGATTGTGCCTCAACTATATCAACTGTACTTAAACTGTTAGATAATCCTAGTCGATGATAACATTACTATTCTCACCGCTATTACAAAACCGTACATGAGGTTTTCGCCTCATACGGCTCCTCGGGGGCCACAAATTAATCTAGGGACCGGGTCGGTATTATTTATTTATCTTGATATATTTGTAGGATAGATAGAGTCAAAATCTACCGGAAGGTCCCGGAATTAGGCCAATGGAATTCTGTCTGCTATAAATCTATAATAATAATAAATAAAAAAGGTACTTCTGAATTGCTCCTCATCCTTTAATATTTTCTTTGTTGGAGTAATAACTTAATCCTTTAATAAAATACTCCTTGCAGAAATATCAATAGATATTTCAACCCCGCCTTTTCCATTACGAAAAAGAATTAGACATTATATTAGTTCATGAATCCTGACAAGAATTCTATCTCTATGAATATGGATATAAGAAAGAAAGAATAAGAAAAGATTTTTCTATTGTAATTACATTCTTTCTTTTTTTTTTTTCGTTCCTAGTCTTCTTTCTAAAAAAAAGTGAAGGGGGCTTAAAAGAAAGTAAAGGATTATTCGTTCCTGATAGCTATTTCTTTAATTAGTGGATAGGAGCATACTCTGGATCGGAATCATGGGGAGTACTGCCTGATCATTTCTACTAATTTAAGCCCCAATTAGTATTCCCTTTTATGCAAAAATGTCCCTTGGATAACTTACATAATCTCCATTACTAATCCTTTATGTACCTTGGTGTTCCTAGCCATCCACTTATTTTTGCTCAATCCCCCCGTTATGGTACTACATATATGTTAATACATAGAAAGATAGTGAAAACAAAACTCCATACAGTTGGTCTTTTGAACCCGCTTCAAGTCGTGATTGATGCCTAATCAATCAATCTTGGGATAAACAGACAGTCTCTACTGCTTGCTTATGTTTATTTTCCGCTTAACTCTTGTACCATAGGAAATGAGACTCAATCCTTTTACTGCGAATTTATAAGCTGTTTTATTTCACTCATATAACTATCTGATTTAGTTTATCAACCCGAATGATGAATAAAATATGACGATATTTATTCAATTCATTCAACTTCTTTCCTATAAAAAAAGAAGAAAGAAAGGGAATAGAGAAAGGTTTATGTCTCAACGATCGCACGTAGAGATATTGATAAAACACATAGAGTTAATGGTATTTCATAACTAATCGCTTGAGCAGCAGCTCGCAGACCACCTAAAAAAGAATATTTATTATTTGATCCATATCCTGACATAAGAAGTCCGATCGGAGCAACACTTGAGATGGCAATCCATAAAAAAATACCGATATTGAGATCCGCTAAAACAAGGTGATTGCTAACAGGAATTACTGAATAACTTAGTAAAATAGAGATAACTGCTATAGATGGTCCAATACTAAATAAAGGAGTATTTCCTCTAGATGGACGAAGATCTTCTTTGAAAAGTAGTTTTGTCCCGTCGGCTAAAGCTTGAAGAATTCCTAACGGGCCGGCGTATTCAGGTCCAATACGTTGTTGTATCCCGGCAGATATTTCTCTTTCTAACCACACAATTACTAGTACACCAGTTATGATTCCCAATACAGGAGTAAAAATAGGTACAAGCATCCATATGATCCCATAAACCTCTTTTAAGTATTCCAATCGGGAAAAAGAATTGATATCTTGTACTTCTGGTGT